TGCCCTAGGGCTTACAATGTAGGAGACTACGATATTAAGATTATGTTAGTGCCGCATTTTTATGCTAAGCAATCATTAAATTATTTTAGTGTTTTAACAACATTCGTTGGTATAGATATGCCTTAAAAATTTAAAAAAAGGCTATACCTACGATGGTAGTACATTAGGCGTTCATCATCGTAGAGCAATCCTTCGTCGCGTAATTTTAGTAGAGCTGCGGGTGGCAGATGCTTCCTTCTTTGAATATTGGGGATTTCCTCTTGGTAGTCCAGGAATTGTTCCACTATCCCATTTTCCACGTTTTGGCTTCTCTCCAGAAAGTTTAGTGCATTCTTCATCATGAAGACGTCTATCCGGCTAAATTCGATGGCGTTATAGATATTCCTGTTGAGTGGTCGTCTGAATATTCCATTCTCGTCAATTGTTGGCCTCATTCCTAAGCACGATGCCAAGATCCTCCTTTCCCATTTCCTTAATCTTTCCATTTGGGCCGAAGATATGTCAGCCCAAGCGGCAAAGGAATAGGTTATTATGGGCCGGATAACTTGCTTGTAGATAAGCAGTTTTACGTCCGGCGACAGTCCTCCTCGCATCCTGAATAGCCTCTGGTAGGCGAAATTCATCTTTTTGGCCTTTGACAGCACATAGTCCACGTGGCGGCAGAAGTCAAATCTGTCGTGTAGGATGATTCCCAGGTATTTCATCCTATCGGAAGTTTCAATTAGTTGGTCACCAACCTTGATCGTAGGGATGTATCTTCGGAAGCTCTTTGCCGTAGACTGTGGTTTCCCTTTGTAAACCACAGATACGCATTTTCCAACGTTGAGGTTGAGTCCCCATTTGTGGAAGTAGTTGTGGAGCGTATTCATGTACGCATTCAATCTTCTTTCCACAGTGCTTCCGAAGCGACCTCGTAGCGCCAATAAAATGTCATCGGCGTACATGAGCAGTAATCCTCCTTCAGGTGGTCCAGGGATGTCGCTGACAAACAAGTTGTACAATACTGGTCCCAGCAGTGATCCTTGTGGAACCCCTGCTTTTACCAGTCGTTGTTCAGACAGTTTGTCATCAACTCTGACCCGAAAGACTCGATCCTGGAGAAAGCTTGCTACCATGCGACAGGTTTGTCCATCGAATCCAAACGATTGCATTTTGTATAAAATGCCATGTTGCCATACCGTATCAAAGGCTTTGGTGAAGTCCAGACCAATTGCAATTGTTCCCATTTTGGTCCTGAAACCGTCCGTGACGTATGTTGTAAAGGCTGCTAGGGCATGGGTTGTGGAGTGCTTTGCTCTATATCCGAATTGGCAGTCCTTTAGTATCCTCTTCTCCTCGATGATCCTGGTGATTCGGCGCAGAAGGAAGTATTCAAGAAGCTTCCCAAAGGGCGATAGCAGGGATATCGGTCTATAGCTCCCCCTTAGGGTTGCATCTGTTCCGGGCTTAGGAATTGGTACCACTAAAGCCTCTTTCCAGGCTATTGGGAAATAGCCAATGTTGAGGCAGTGGTTAAACAATATGGTGAGAAAAAGAATGATGGCTTCACCAGCCTTTTTTACAGCAATATCAGGGACCTTATCGATGCCACAAGACTTCTTCGGTGCCCTTCTTGCTATAGTTGATCCGACCATGTCTGGATCAACAAATGCATTTTCTACCCATCGGTGTGTGTTATAGATGGACCCATCTGCTTTGAATTCATTGCTGAATTCAGCAGAGGGCGAGTGGTTTCTAATTCCTTCCGCTGCTGTGTTGACCATGTTGCGGAAGGAATAGTCTATTGTTCCCTCGGATTGATGGTTATCCTGTATGTAGTCTGCCAGGATCTCAGCTTTTTGTGTATTATCCGAGGTAATTACACCGTTATTGTCTATAATTCCCTTTATTGGTTGCCGGAATGCCAGGCCAGCGGCTCTTTTGACCTTCCCGAATGTCTTCGAGTTCACCTCGATGGTTTCCAAGTAGCCCTCGAAGCGTTCTTTCTCGTGGATAATAATCAGTTGCTTGATTATTATGCTTAGGTTCCTTATGTCGGCCTTGAGGATTGGGTGGCGATCAGGATCTGCAGTGCGTCTTAATATTCCCCGTAACCTTTTTCGCTCGGTGATGAGTCTTCGGATGTTGGGAGGGAGTTCTCCAAGGAAGGAATTTCTGACTTCCTGGGTTGGCACGTTGCTCTCTATGGCCGATCTGAAAACGGAGCTTAGGCCATCTACACATGCATCTACCTCGGCTATGCTGACATTTCTATCCACAGGAAGGATGTGCTCCTGCAATCCATCCTCTAAATGTCGTCTGTAGCGGCGAATCCTTGTTCTTTTGAAGTTATAGAACACTGCTTTCTCGGCTCTTTCGATGTCCTCTATGAGCAGGCACATTTCTACTGCTCGATGATCGGACTCGAAGTCGTGTGTTGATAGTGGTCCATTGAAGTCCTGAACAAGCCCGGGCGTCCTCAGGAAATAGTCGATGTGTGATCCTCCTTGTTCGTTAGGTCTGGTCGGCTCTAGTGTTGGACACAGATCTAGGTTAGGACAGCTGTTGAGGAAGGAGTGTAAAGCACGTCCTCTCGTGTTGGTTACATCTCCTCCCCAGTCGTGGTGTTTGGCGTTTAGGTCACACCCAATAATCACTTCAGCTGTTGCACACAGTTTGACTATCTCATTGAGGTCTGCCGTGTTGAAGTTTGCATGCGGTCTTTGGTACATCGCAATAAAGATTATATTTGTACCGCTCCTTGTCCAAATCCTTGCTCCACAGGATTCTATTTGTCCAGTGTTGACGAAAATTTGCTCCGATTTTAGCGAATTTCTGATGAGAATTCCGGTTCCTCCACCAGTGCGACCTTGTCTGCACTGTTTGAAAAATTTGTAGTCTTTGAAGGTGATCCGATGCCTTTCGTTTAGTTTGTGTTCAGCTATTAATAGAACATCTGGTTGATGTTCATTGAGAAATAGCTGAAGGTAGTGTCGCTTTTCCCTTGAAACGCAGAATTGATATTAAGGAACATGCATTTTAACATGAATATCCCTTAATATGCATAAGAAGGGACAACAATGCAGTTGACCCTCCTTCTGCCGTTTTGATCCTTTGGAATTCGCCCTTGAATGAATCCAAATCTTTCAGAAGGTCTCCTATGCCTTTGCCAAATGATGTTTTGCACTCCTGTGCTATTTTCTTGGCTATGTCTGCGGTTCCGTTTATTTCCTTTGTCTTCATTGCCGGGATAGGTCTCACGTTGACCTTTGCTTGCGATCCTGCTGCTGCTGCATAGGTTAATATGTTTTTTGTTGTGGTTAGCTGTTGCGACCTTGCTTTTGTTTGGCCCAATTTTTCCTCTCTGCGTTCTCGTAATTTTTGCAGAATTGCTTTCTTTTTAGGGCAATCCGGCGAGCTGGCTGTGTGCCCCTCCTTGTTGCAGTTGGCACATTTTAGCGGTGGTTTAGCGGCTCCTATGACGAAGTTATCCTCCTCCGCTTTGTCATTTTTCCCAGGTATCAGGCATTGTCCATGCTCGTGGTCCTGAGCGCATTTAACACATTTTTTAATCATGTTGCAGTTTGCTGAAACATGTCCAGGTTTTTGGCAGTTGAAGCACTGCACGAACTCTCTTCCTTTAGCTTTTCGGAAAGTGACATCACAAGCTATCACTTTCCTAATTTTATACAGCTTATTGACCTCCGTGGTCCGAGTAAGCCGAATAATCCACTTTTTAGCTCCTATGTTAATGACGCTTATTACTTCTATTTGGAAGTCTAGTCCTTCCAAATACCTTTTTACATCCTCCGGGGTGTACTCTGCGCAGAGTCCGTGCGCGAGTACGGAGTACGGCAGATGTTGCTTTGGTGTGTGGGTGTGGAATCTATAATTCCTCTCCTTGAGTAGACTCCTGGCCTTAAGGAAATTTTCCAGTCCTTGTATTCGGATTGAGAGGACTCCTTTTCTCACCACTTTAATTACAAAGTGGTTTCTTCCCACGTGGATGTCGAGAATGTTGGTCATCTCGACAACTGTGACGTCGTACACCGTGATTGCAGGTTGGTTTTTCCCTGCCTGCTTGGCTGATTGTTGTGCACGTGCGGTGTTTGCTTCTGCACGTGCGTTGTTTTCCGAGAACATCCTTTTTCTCGGATTTATGACGTTGTTTACACGGTCATTGTTTATGGCATTGTTTGTCATAGGATTTATGACCTTGTTTGTCACATCTTTTATGACCTTGTTTGTTTCATCATTTATGACCTTGTTTGTCACTTCATTTATGACCTTGTTTGTCTCACGTAGGTTTAGTGCAGGTAAGTTTTTACCTGCCGATGTTTTGCTCATCCCTTTGTTGTTGGTCAAAGGGGGAAATCGATGTTATGTGCCGCTGGTGTTACAGCCGTTGTCTCTGTTTCCATCTTGTATGCGAAATCTTTAAATTTCTCCTCCAGTTCAGCCTTTTCTTTTAGGGCCTTGTCCAGCTGGGCCTGCATTTTATCTATTTGCGCTTTCATCTCCGAAAGCGTGGCGTTGAATCTCAGCTTAAGGTAGCTGACGTCCTCGCAGTCACAGTAGCTGCGCTTCTTCCTCTTCTTTTGTTTACGGCTATCTACCGTTTGATAGCCATCCGTGGTCGCTCCATCATCCGTTAAAAATGTGCTGCTGTTGAGACTCCTCTCCTGATCGCACATTCTTCTTATATATATTTTTTCTTTTTCCTCTCTCCGCTTGATTTTTACCTGCTGCGGGGTTTCCGAGCAATTATTTGTTTTTTTTTTTTGCACTTTTGTTTTTTTTTTTTTTTTCAATGTTTTGTCCGCTCGCTTAAAAATACGTGTTGTCGCTACGAAGGTCAAACACACTCTGATAAAAAAATTTTCGCCTCGAAACGTGCTATTTATACTTTTCTCACACACACATTTCTTCAATAATGGGGTGGTTTGCATTGTGTGTGCCTGCTAGCTGTGACTACCTGAAAATCTTGTCGACTACAATCTACAAATTCTGTATAGCTGGCCGTTTTGGTTCATCATTTGTGAACAGTGTTAAAAGTGTTTGTGTGATTCAAAAAAAAAAATAATAATAAGTGAAAATGCCTCCTAAAACCAGTGGTAAAGCAGCAAAGAAGGACGGCAAAGCCCAAAAGATCATTACCAAGGGCGATAAGTCGAAGAGACGTACCAAGCGTAAGGAGAGTTACGCTATCTACATTTACAAAGTGTTGAAGCAAGTCCATCCCGACACCGGTATCTCCTCCAAGGCCATGAGCATCATGAACAGATTCGTCAACGATATCTTCGAACGTATTACCACCGAAGCCTCTCGTTTGGCCCACTACAACAAGCGCTCGACCATCACCAGTCGGGAAATCCAGACCGCCGTCCGTCTATTGTTGCCCGGTGAATTGGCTAAGCACGCCATCAGTGAAGGTACCAAGGCTGTTACTAAATACACCAGCTCCAAGTAAATGTCTTGATATTTTTCATTTTGCGTCGAAATACTACCTTAAAAGACCCTTTTCAGGGCCACAAAAAACATTTCAAAAGAGGTCATATTTTTGTTGAAACTACAATTTATCATTATTTAGTAATAAACGAATAAAATTCCATAAGAAATATATTTTTCTCTATACAATGATTTTTCCATGCATTTAGCTAACTCGCATATGTACCTATGTTTAGCCTTTGCTTGTGCGATATGCTATAACAGCCATCGTCGTCGTATATGTGTGCGTGTGTTAGTGGTGATTTGCCTTGTCGTCGTTGATCAACATCGAATGGGCATCATGTATGTGTGAGCATTTTGATACAGCACAACGGCAAAGCAACGAAATATAAGGCTGAGGCAGAAATTTTCAAAGGAAAAAATGTATTGATGGAAAATGTAAATATTTTGCCAAAATGTCATTTTTAGATGAATTTTGTGAAATTTAACAGAGAATACGAAAATATCAAAATTTTTAAAATTAAGTAGAAATTAAAAAAATTACCAAATTATGGGGATTTTAGAGAATTATGACCTGTGGGTAATTAGGAATAATTTTAAATATTTTATTATCTTTTATGACCTGAGTTAAAAAATAATCCAGTGGCGTCCAAGATTATATTGGTTCAATAAAATTACCTAATAAGAACAGTAATTAGCCAAAGTAATTTTTTCGAACACGTGTACAATTTTTTTTAGGTAACAAAAATATACGATAGCTGTTGAAAATAAATATTTTTCTCTTTTTTAATTTAATTTGTAGCCCTGAAAAGGGCTGTTAGATAGTATGTTTTCGAATATCGAAAATATTGTGGAAAAAGTAATCTTTCTGGGAAAAATTACTTGTTGGCGGCGGCTTTCCTAGCAGCTGGCTTCTTTGCTGCTGCGGCATTTTTGGGCTTAGCAGCTGCAGTTTTTGCCTTGGGTGCCTTTGGTTTAGTGGCAGATGCTTTGGCGGCGGTCTTTGCTGGTTTAGCTTTAACTGTACCGGTTTTCTTGGCAGCCTTTGCCTTTGTTTTGTCGGCCTTCTTCTTTTCAGCGGTCTTCTTGTCAGAGGGTTTTTTGGCAGCTGCCTTCTTCTCACCAGCGGCCTTTTTAGGGGCGGCAGCCTTCTTCTTTTTGTCACCAGCGGCTGGGGCCTTCTTCTTCTTTTCAGCAGTCTTGGCTTTGAGTTCCTTGGAGGCCGAAGCAGACAATTTGAATGAACCAGAAGCACCCTAACATTAGTTTGGATCAATTTTCCACTGGCAACGGCACCTTTCAAGTACTTCTTGATGAAGGGGGCCAATTTTTGGCCCAGCGGCAACTGGGGAGGCGGTGGCTTCAACAACGGCGGCGTCAGACATGGTTATTCACTGTTTGGTTTATATTTCACTGTTAACAGAAATACACTCACAAATTTATGTGTACTATTATTTTTGTTAGCGGCGTTCAATTTAGAATTTTAGAGCACCCTTGATCAGGAACATATCGATTCTGTCGAAAGGTGTGTTCTCGTATACAGCGGAATTGTGCGGGAGTCGCCATATTCCATTGTCGTCTAGTATGGGTTTTATTTCAAGACACGATCTTAGCACCCTCCTCTCCCAGATACGAATTCTCTCCATTTGATGGGAGGAGATTCCGTACCAGACGGGGAAGGCGTATGCCAAGATTTGTCGAATTATTTGTTTATAAATTAACAGTTTGACAGGCAGTGTTAGTCCACCTGATCTGCAAATAGCCCGCTGGTAAGCCCAGAATAATTTTTTGGCCTTGCCGAGAGTGTAGTCCACATGTCTGACAAACTCAAAATTGGAGTGGAAAACCACGCCCAGATATTTGAGCTGGTCAGACACGCGGATCAATTGTCCCCCGATATATGGCGTAGCTTCAAAGCCTCTGGAGCTGGGGAAGAGGTATTTTTTTATACCTTTAAAAACGATGCCTTCACATTTGTTGATGTTAAGGCTCATTTTCCATTTCTCAAATTATATGGAAAGGGTGGTCAGATATTGGTTTAGGCGTCTATTTGTGTTATGAGCATGGGCTCCAGATGCAGCGATAAATATATCGTCTGCATATATTAATAGCAGATCCCAATCGGGTGGTTGAGGAATATCTGCTAGGAATATATTAAACAATATAGGTCCAAGTAAGGACCCTTGTGGGACGCCTGCGTATATATTCCTGTCCGTGGAGAAGGACCATGTGGACCATGTTGACTTATCAGTCTTTCTAAGTACAAACTCAGGAATTCCATCGGGTCCACTGGATTTACTGTTGGGTCTCCTCTTGACTGCAGCACCTATATTCTCAGGGGATACAAGACTGAGTTCTGGGATATGTTCAAAGCCATCCGCTAGTAAATTTTCAGAAAAAATTACCAGGGGAGACCTAATATTGAATTCTTGTTCTATAATATTAATACTACCATCTTGGGGACGTGGTGCAGTAATCATGCCTTGAATAGAATCAGCGATGATATTGGCTTTATCCTCGTCAATATATATAGCAGTTCCATTATCATCAGAAAGAGCAGGTATGGTACTGCGCCTAATGCCAGCGGCAGCCTTGTCTTTGCCGTACGCTCTTTCGTTCATAGTGATACCTTTCAGGAAGCTTATCCAGTGTTCACTATCGTGTTGTGGAATAGCCCCCTGAATAGTTCTGTCAAGGTTATTAATATTATTCTTGATATCGTCATACCTAAATGGGTCTCTACAGCGGTAGAGTGTACAGCGTAGTCGTTTCTTTTCCCGGATGAGGTCCAGAATATTAGAGGGAAGAGGGCGTAATCCTCTATTGCCTTTTTGAACTTTTGGGATAGATTCATCCATAGCCCTTTGGAAAATATCCACCATTTTCTCAATACCTATATCTATTTCCGAAACCGTGACATTTCGGTTAATAGGGAGTTGGCAGCTGGGCAAATCTTCCCCTAGTATCCTATTAAACCTCCGTATATCAATTTTTTTGTAATCAAAAAATTTTGCATTTCTGGTGATTACCACGCACATTGATAGTAATTGCCAAGTTATCGGAATTACAATCAGTGGTGCTGATACCTCTACCTCCATTATCGTCGATATCTATGCCAGGGGAGGCTAAGCATATGTCGATGTATGTTTCAGAACTTCTACTTATTCGGGTGGGGCCGTCAGTAGGAATTACTGTAAGGTCCGGACACCCTAAAATGAAATCGGCTATGGATCTGCCTCTAGAGCAGGAGGTGGTACCGCCCCAGCTGATATGTCGGGCGTTGAGATCGGCTCCAATGATGATGTGTCCGGCTCTCGCCAAAGGTCTGAGGCATTCAAGATCAGAGGAGTTAAACCTTTCGCCAGGTCTACAGTACATGCTCACTACATGTAGCGTCGACCCATCTACCCTAAATAATTTAATACAACAATTTTCTATGCCACCTGAATCTAGGACTACTTGTTCGCATTTTATGTTTTGCTTATCTAGGATAGCAGTACCGCGGCCAGTTCTATCTATTCTTCTTTGCAAAAAGGTTTTATAGCCCTCCATGACCAGATTCGCATAGGTAGGCACCATATGCTCCGCCAACATCATCACATCAGGCCGATGGTCTTTAAGAAACAGATTTAAAAAGTGTTTCTTGTGCCTCGATACTAATGAGTTGACGTTGGCGAACATGCACTTGATAGATCTAGTCATCAGAGCAGAGTGATGTTAAGATGCCAATCATAGCCTTAGCTTGGCAATCTTGATTTACACTATTTAAGTCCTTGGAGTATTTGCGGACTTTCGCAAGGCATGAGAAGAAATCGTTGCCGAAATTCTTCTTGCAAATTTGATCAAAGTTTTCGAATGAGGTCATTATGTCAGTCATAGGCCTATCCCCTGTATTGGCCACTGAATTGTGTGTAGGTGTGTTTTGTGACAGATCGTTCTGTTTCGTATTTTCAGCAAAAGAGACACCCAATTTAACTTTGCCACTATTGGCCGAAAATCTATTTTGACGTGTTGCTTTTTTATTATTTTTTGGAACCGCATCGGATTTAATTTTTGCAAGTCGCGATTGTCGAATTGGACATTCGCGTGAGTTGGCAGCGTGTCCCTCCTTGTTGCAGTTTACGCATTTAAAAATGTAATCCGGTTTTTTGGAGATTTGGCCCGTTATGGGATCTTTAACCTCAATCATGGTGGGTTTATGGACACCAGGAGGGATATGACACTTCTTAGGGCCATGTGCTCCCCCACACTTACAACACCTGTATGGCATACCACAGCCCCCTGAGGAGTGAGTTGGCCGTTGGCAATTGTGGCATTGGGTTAGACCCTTTTTTGTATCTCTACTGAGTAAAATGCCGCAGTAAGGAACTTGTGGACTTTGAACAGGCGATCTATATCTGATCCTTTACTGAAGTGGATGAGCCACTTCTCAAAATCTAAATAAATTACTCTTAGAACTTCTAGGTTAATGTCTAGGTTTAAGAGGCCATCCTTAATATCCTCGGCATCATATGTCGAGGATAATCTTTCCATAATGATGGAGTGAGGAGTCTGATCTTTAGAGGAGTACGTAAAAAAATGTATGCCCCTGCTAATAAAAAGTGCTCTAATCTTCGAATGGTCATCGATGGATGCCATTTGAAAGTTTGCCTTATTTTTATTGACAACCTTAATTGAAAAGTCTTCGTGTCCGTTTTCGGTCGTAATTAAACTTCTAAACTCTTTTATATTGACATTATAGGCCGTTATAAGAGGTATCGACTTACGTTTGATGTTAGGTGACTCCGATGAAGCGCCCTTATCAGCTAATATTGAGCTAATATCTTCCCTGCTTTCGGTTGATATGGCTGGTATATCTGGTTGTGTAGTTGCCTTTGTCGCATTAGGCACGTCCTTCTTTTTTTCTGAGGCTCGGCATGCGCTCAGTATGTTTATTCGTGCCGGCGGTGTATCCACAGGCTGCACTGGCAGTGTGTCAGCATAGTCCGTCTCCATGGTAGCATCATTACTGCATTTATTTCTATTGCTCTTGTTTTCATTAGCTGGAGCAATTTGTTTTTCGAGGTTAGTGATAATTCGTTTGCAGCTCATTTCTTTGGAGTGAGCTGCAGTAAGTTGCCTAGCTGATTCAGCCTGCATATTTTTAGAAATGTCAGCTCGGCTGTCAGCACTTTATTTTGACTCTCCAGCGAGATAATCTTATCTTGCAGTTGTCTAATGACTGCGTTCATTTCAGAGTAGTTGGTTGGCGAGTCGCATTTCCGTTTTAGTTGCGGCCTGGCATATTTTACCTCTTGCCATTCACCAATCTCGTCTGTAGTTTGTCTCTGCAACGGTTTAGTTGTATCTGCGTTGCCAGCATTCATGTTGTCAACATTTATGAATGCTGTAGTCTCGGTGGCGGATGATTTATTTTCGCCCAGTAGCAGCTTATCGGCAGCAGACTTATCTGCCGCCTGTAAGACGTTCATATGTAATAACGTCCGCTTGTAGCACAGTTTGTTTGAAAACTAATTTTATCTCCCTGAAGGTAATATTTGCCTTCAGTAATTTGTTTTCACTTTCAGTTGTTTATACTCACTGTTTGGTTTATATTTCACTGTTAACACAAATACACTCACAAATTTATGTGTACTATTATTATACATCGAAAAGATGAGATGTGCATAGTAGTCAATTGGTAATTTTTTCGAAAGATTGTGTGGAAGCGTGTTTAATTTTTTACAAAATTTTCGGAGAAATTAAATTTTCCTGAAGAAGCTTTGATAATTTTCACTAAAAATGTTTTATAGATAGATAGAAGTATAGATTTCAGGCTATGTTTTAAAGAAAGTTTGGTGTAATTATCACTTGCCGTTTGTGAATTATAAAAGTTTAACTTGACAGATTATAAAAATGTTGAAACAAATTTCCAACTAAAATTTAAAAAAATCTAATTTTTTATGAAAAATTAATTGAAAATTCTTTTTGAAAATGTAGCCTGATATGTTTACTTTAGGATGAAAGGAAAATATCGATGAAATTTTATATTTTACTATTTAAAAAAATTGAAATTATTATGTGGTCTATGACAGCAGAAATCCTCTTGTTGGCATAATTTCAATGAAGAAAAGTTTTTCTTGAAATAAATTTGAAAGCTCAAATCTTAATAAGTTTTATAAAAATTTCTTAAAAAACATTTCAGAATTTGTATATTTACATCAAAATTTAACATTAATCACAAAAAGTCATAATTTACGTTGAAAAGTTACAAAATCCCCAGAATACTTCATACTGCCAATGTACAGGCATTCAGTGACAAACGTATTTTTATTTTGCAATATTTTTTATGAAATTTAACATAATTTGTTCGAAATTTTTTTAAAAGCAGTCTTAGAAGGCATTTTCTACGTTATTTTGTCTAATTTTATGAAAAAATATTCCCAAAAAGAAATTCCTCTTTACAGGCATATATCACCTAGAACACTTGGAAATGTCATGAAATTAATTGCGTTTTACAAAATTGTTTTTCGATGAACTTTAAGGGCAGATATTATTGGCATTTCTTTTTATAATACTTTAAATTATATTTTACATCAAAATTCTGAACAAATCAATTATTTTCTTCTTCGATTTTTGAAAATAATAAATTACTACCAGTTTTTCTAAATGCATCGGGCAAAAATAATTTTGTAATTCCATACGGAGAAAATTCATATTCAAATCTCTTAAAATGAGTTTAAAAAATTTAAAAATATTTTTTGGTGGTTATTTTTATGAGTCATAGCATTTTTTTTTTTTCGAAGAGGGAGTACAAAGATGATGCTACTTTTGCAAATTAAAATTAAATACCAATATGGATAATTGAAAATTTTTAAATTAAATTAAGAAAAAAATTAAAATCAATCAAAGAAATCAAAAAATTATAAAAAAAGTAAAGAGTGGAAAAATCATCATGAAAAAAAAACAAACATCAAAAAAATATCTTTATTTTAAAAATGTTAATAATTGTTTAAAAATTAATCAAAGCCCTAAATTATTTTTATTTATTTCAAAATAATACTAAAAATTGTAGATTGATTAAAAAAATATCTCTTTTTTGTAAAATATTTGTGAAAAGGACCGATTGTTTTGTTGTAAAATTGTTGCTTTTAAAACGTCAAGAATTTAAGCACGTTCTCCACGAATACGTCTGGCCAATTGGATATCCTTAGGCATGATGGTGACACGCTTAGCATGGATGGCGCACAAGTTAGTATCTTCGAAAAGACCAACCAAGTAGGCTTCACTGGCTTTTTGCAAGGCCATAACAGCAGAGCTCTGGAAACGCAAGTCAGTTTTGAAATCTTGAGCGATTTCACGAACCAAACGTTGGAAGGGCAATTTGCGGATCAACAATTCAGTACTCTTCTGATAACGACGGATTTCACGCAAAGCAACTGTACCAGGACGGAAACGATGAGGCTTCTTAACACCGCCGGTGGCTGGGGCACTCTTACGGGCAGCTTTGGTAGCTAGTTGTTTACGAGGAGCCTTTCCACCGGTCGATTTACGGGCAGTTTGCTTAGTACGAGCCATTTTTCACTTGAATTTTTTCACTTCACTATAGATATGCACACAAACACTGTAATAACGTTGCCATCGCATATTGCATATTTATTTTCCCAAATAATTTAGTTACAATATTGAACTTAAAATTCTAAGAATTATATAAATGGTTTTCCTAACAGCATTTAAACTTTTTCTAGGAATATTATATATAAGTATTAATTTGTGGTAGGTCAACCCATTTGTGTTTTAAGTATTGACTTTGTCATAGGATTATTTGCGATTAACAAGAAAGGGAAGAAAACTTGTTAATCATTTATAATGAGTACTTACAACTAAAAATAAAATAAAGCAAAACTTAAACATAAAAAGTAAAAATAAAAATAAAATAAATAAATAAACAAAACTTAAAAACTACTATTTACAATATATACAAAATTTTGATAATTTAATAATAATATTGTTCAGTTCTACATACAAGGTTTTCAATATTGTATGTTCCATATCTTCTGTTGTAAAAAATTATTTTTTCATTGTTATCAAATAATAAATTGTGTGTTTCTAAGTAGGTTAGACACATAGGTGACAAATAGCCATCATTTTGTAAATATCTTATGAACATTCTTCACTTATTACTCCATTTAGAATGATTGAGTTATTGCAATTATTGCAACTATTTATGAATTTAAGCCCAATTTTGGTCATGAATTTATCAATTCAATCTAGCTTGCTGGTGTTATTTATTAATTATTATTAATTATATTTATTATTTAATGATGGTGATCGGAATCTTCCATCATCAGTTCTTTCTGCCCTCATATTTAGGCAGTATGCTAACATTTTTCGTTCAAAAACCATAATCTTTTCCATCTGACTAGAAGATATGCTGAACCAAATTGGGAATGCATAAGTTATGATTGGTCTTAATAGCTGTTTATAGATACACATTTTTACACAAAATTCTGAACAAATCAATTATTTTCTTCTTCGATTTTTGAAAATAATAAATTACTACCAGTTTTTCTAAATGCATCGGGCAAAAATAATTTTGTAATTCCATACGGAGAAAATTCATATTCAAATCTCTTAAAATGAGTTTAAAACATTTAAAAATATTTTTTGGTGGTTATTTTTATGAGTCATAGCATTTTTTTTTTCGAAGAGGGAGTACAAAGATGATGCTACTTTTGCAAATTAAAATTAAATACCAATATGGATAATTGAAAATTTTTAAATTAAATTAAGAAAAAAATTAAAATCAATCAAAGAAATCAAAAAATTATAAAAAAGTAAAAAGTGGAAAAATCATCATGAAAAAAAAACAAACATCAAAAAAATATCTTTATTTTAAAAATGTTAATAATTGTTTAAAAATTAATCAAAGCCCTAAATTATTTTTATTTATTTCAAAATAATACTAAAAATTGTAGATTGATTAAAAAAATATCTCTTTTTGTAAAATATTTGTGAAAAGGACCGATTGTTTTGTTGTAAAATTGTTGCTTTTAAAACGTCAAGAATTTAAGCACGTTCTCCACGAATACGTCTGGCCAATTGGATATCCTTAGGCATGATGGTGACACGCTTAGCATGGATGGCGCACAAGTTAGTATCTTCGAAAAGACCAACCAAGTAGGCTTCACTGGCTTTTTGCAAGGCCATAACAGCAGAGCTCTGGAAACGCAAGTCAGTTTTGAAATCTTGAGCGATTTCACGAACCAAACGTTGGAAGGGCAATTTGCGGATCAACAATTCAGTACTCTTCTGATAACGACGGATTTCACGCAAAGCAACTGTACCAGGACGGAAACGATGAGGCTTCTTAACACCGCCGGTGGCTGGGGCACTCTTACGGGCAAATTTGGTAGCTAGTTGTTTACGAGGAGCCTTTCCACCGGTCGATTTACGGGCAGTTTGCTTAGTACGAGCCATTTTTCACTTGAATTTTTTCACTTCACTATAGATATGCACACAAACACTGTAATAACGTTGCCATCGCATATTGCATATTTATTTTCCCAAATAATTTAGTTACAATATTGAACTTAAAATTCTAAGAATTATATAAATGGTTTTCCTAACAGCATTTAAACTTTTTCTAGGAATATTATATATAAGTATTAATTTGTGGTAGGTCAACCCATTTGTGTTTTAAGTATTGACTTTGTCATAGGATTATTTGCGATTAACAAGAAAGGGAAGAAAACTTGTTAATCATTTATAATGAGTACTTACAACTAAAAATAAAATAAAGCAAAACTTAAACATAAAAAGTAAAAATAAAAATAAAATAAATAAATAAACAAAACTTAAAAACTACTATTTACAATATATACAAAATTTTGATAATTTAATAATAATATTGTTCAGTTCTACATACAAGGTTTTCAATATTGTATGTTCCATATCTTCTGTTGTAAAAAATTATTTTTTCATTGTTATCAAATAATAAATTGTGTGTTTCTAAGTAGGTTAGACACATAGGTGACAAATAGCCATCATTTTGTAAATATCTTATGAACATTCTTCACTTATTACTCCATTTAGAATGATTGAGTTATTGCAATTATTGCAACTATTTATGAATTTAAGCCCAATTTTGGTCATGAATTTATCAATTCAATCTAGCTTGCTGGTGTTATTTATTAATTATTATTAATTATATTTATTATTTAATGATGGTGATCGGAATCTTCCATCATCAGTTCTTTCTGCCCTCATATTTAGGCAGTATGCTAACATTTTTCGTTCAAAAACCATAATCTTTTCCATCTGACTAGAAGATATGCTGAACCAAATTGGGAATGCATAAGTTATGATTGGTCTTAATAGCTGTTTATAGATACACATTTTTATGTCCCTGCTAAGCCCTCTTTTTGAACTTAGAACATAATGCAATTTTTGAAAAGCTACCTTTACTTTTTGAAGTATGTACTCAACGTGC